AACAAGGTGCAGGGGGCGTGCCCACTCTTGTACCCTTCAGGGCCCATCCCCCCCAGTCTTGCCCACCTGGCCTTCTGTGACTAGTGTGTTCCTGCCTTCGTCTCCCTGGTCTCTGCAAAGCTGGTTCCGTGTTACGTGGCCGGGTGAACACGGATCAGTGCTACAGCTTCGTTGTAGAGCACCATGCTTCATCAGGGTGCAGAAAGACCAGGCTCTCTACTCCCGTGAGGAGTTGTGTTGGCCTTGGAAACCCCGAGGCAGTTCTAGCCTGCCCTGCAGGGTTGCTGGGAGCTGGCATTCACGTGTGATGACAGCGAGTTTTTGAGGATCTCTGTCAGGCATACTGGTTTGGGGCTTGACTTCTGCTTTGTCCAACCATCGGGCCTCCCCCTGCCCCTGCTCTTTCTGCTCCCCCCAGCCTTTGCCTGCTCTGCACGTTGTTAGCCTTCCAGAACCACTTGGTGTGGGCGCCACTGGGTCTTGTGGGAGCCACAAACACCTCTCAGCATGACGGGCATGTTGGTCCCGCTTCTGTTTGAGGTTTCGTAGTTGTGTGGGTTTTTGTTACGTCTGTTTCTCGTTCTTTGACCTTTAATTCACAGTGGTGTGATGCTTAGGAAGGATGGCTTCGCTGTTCTCGTGGTCACTTCATATCTGTGCCCCTCTAACTGTCCTGTCGCTGCGTGCTCTGCAAGGGGGCCGGGCGTGAACACAGACATGTGTGGGGACCCCGGGTCCAAGGACATGCTTCATTCCTAGTTCTTCTTTCTTGCTGGTCCCCAGCCCCCTCCTGCCCTGCTCGTTCTCCTGGGAGAGAAAGCTCTCTTCCCCGCCGCCCGAGTGAGGCGTTCATCCCACCCGCATCCGGAGCACCGATCGGCTCACCATGGAGGGGGAGCACGCTGTTACATCACTGTCCAGCCCGAGGACCGTGCGTTTGGGGCACAGTTCGTTTCCCTCTGTGGCATTCACCCACTCCTACTTTTTGATGAGCTTATTCAGTTTTCCTGTTGGCCTCTCCCATCTCTCCCCCAGATACATTACCCACTGTGTGCCCAGCCTCCAGCTCCCGCCTCCTGGTGTGTCTCTCAGCTGTGCTCACCGAAGGGGGCACGGGGTGCGCGGGTCCCTGCGGGTGTGTGTGGTCAGACCGGCTTTTGTTGCGGGGCTTTGTGTGTCTGCTGTCGTGGGAGGCAGCGTGGCTCCCCAAGCGTCGCCTGTGCGCTTTCGCGACCGTGCTGCGCCATGCCCGGCAGCGCTCCTCGTCTTCCCGCGTGTCGCCCCGCGGCGGCACCGGCATGCCACTCCCGGTGAGAGGGATTCGGCGGATGCCCGCCCGCCGTAGCCGCTGAGGAAGAAGGCCTGGCGGCCACCTGGGAGAACCGGCCACGAGCACTGTGCCTGGTGCGGCACGCCGACGTCCACGGAGCGCGGTGCTGCCCCTGCTCCGGCGGGTCCCACCCCGCGAGCAGCCCTGCACTGCCCCTTCTCACCTGGTCACGGAGGAGGGGCCGGCGCCGCGCCCCGCAGCAGCCTGGTCCCCGAGACCAGAGGGACCGGGGTGCCGCCGCCGGGTAAGGACAGATGCGTGTCTGTGGACAGAGACGCTTAAATGCCTCAGCAAACACGAACGCAACCCCAAAGACACA